ACTCTGACCAATACCAACTTGGGGAGGAAAGGGTTTATTTGTCTTACATCTCCCAGGTCGCATGCAGTTCATCTGGGAGCCCAAGGTAGGAACTCAGGGCAGGAACCTGGAGGCAGGAGCTGGAGCACAGGCCATGGAGGAACGCTGCTTACTGGCTTGCTTCCCTGGCCCCTGCTCAGCCTGCTTTCTTATGCAACACAGGCCCACCTGCCCAGGGGTGGCACCACCCACAGTGGGCTGGGCCCTCCCACATCACTCATCAAGAAGATGCCCCTCAGACATGGCCACAGGCCAGTCCAATAGAGGAAATTCCCCAACTGAGGCTCCCTCAACCCAGGTGTGTCAAGTTGACACTAAAGCTATCCAGCACATGTGTCAAGTTGACAACTGAAGCTATCCAGCACACCAGGATAGCTTAGAACTCACAATTTTCTTATCTCTGCCTCCCAAGTACTGGGATTACAGGTGTGCACATCATGACTGTCTTCACCAAACTTTAACATAATTGCAAGTAGCCTAAGAACACATTCCTGGAATGTTCCAGGCCCCTTCCCAGTTCCTATTTGTAAACTGGAACTGCATTTGATTTGCACCAGTTTGTAGACACACTGGCCTAACCACATTGACACTAATACCCCTTCATTACTCAACGGAGCCCCTTCCTCCGTCCAAATTGCTCCTTTTCTATTTGTCTTTATCTTATTTTTTGAAGTGCTGTGAACTGAACTCCAGGCCTCAGACATGCAAAGCATGCACTCTATCATTGAACCATACTCCTGTTCCCATTTGTACTTTAAAATATCTAGTCAACACTGCAGAGCAGCATAGACCTCAGCTAGCTCTTTCCTTGGCTATCACTGTCACCAGTTATTGAACAAAATCTGTTTCCATAGCTTTAATAACTATCCACTTTTTTATTGGTGTTGAATAAAAAGAGGAGAGAATGGGGCTGCATTGACTGCTCTGGCAGAGGACCCCGGTTCGATTCCCAGCACCCACATGGCGACTAACAACTGTCCATAACTCCAGTTCCAGGGGATTCAACACCTTCTTCTGACCGCCATGGGCATTGTATGACACAGGTGCACTTAACACACATACAGGCAAAGTACACTCATACACATAAAATAAAAAATAATAAATAAAAATTTTTAAACGCAGTATAAAACCCTGGTGAGCTTCCCAGGTGACAGGAGGAGCGAGAACTGAACATGGTGGTGCATGTCTTTAATCTCAGCATTTAGGAGGCAAAGACAGGTAGATCTCTGTGAGATCAAGGCCAGCCTGGTCTACAAATCGAGTTTTAGGCCAGCTGGAGCTACTGGGAGACCCTGTTGAGGGAAAGAGAAAGGGAGAGAGAGGAGAGAGAGAGGAAGAGGGAGACAGAGAGAGAAAGAGGAGAGCCAACACAATAGCTCAGTGGGTAAAGATTAAACATGCCTGGCACTAAATCTGACAACCTGTGTTCAATCCCCAAGACCCATATGGTGGAAGAGAGAACAGACTACCAAAAGTTGTCCTCTGACTTACACACACACACACACACACACACACACACACACCATGGCATGCACATGCTCACATATGGGCATGTGCACATGCAAAATAAAGATGTAATTAAAAAAATTTTTTAAAGAGAAAAAGCACCACGGAAGAAGGTCACAGGGACAAGAGAGCCGTCGAGACCAAGGATGGGTGGACCTGTAACACTCTTGGAGAAGGGCCTGGAACAGGTTCTCCCTTGCAAGGAACTTGCCTACTCACACCTTTATCTCAGACCTCTGCCCTCTAGAACTAGGGACAATCTCTGTTGTCCAAGTCCCCTGTATGTGGTACTAAGCTGCTCCCTCCCCAGATAGGAACAAAACACTTTGAGCTAGGTGCTCCTAGCAGTATGATGAGCTGGCTCCTCAGCCCCAGTGTACACCCCAGCAGTGGAGCCTAACTGTAGCAGGTCGCTCTACTCTATTCCCCCAGTTCGCTCCTCCTAGATAGCACAATCCCTGCTCAACTACTGCCACTGGGGTCCTGAGAACAGCCAATCCAGAAAGGTCCTGAAACACTCTCTTAGTCCACACTAAGCATGCCATCCTTGAAGAGAATTAAGTACAGGGCCAACTCCCAGGCCTGGGGGTACACTCTGCTCCTTCAAAGGCTCTCAGCAATCACTTCTGAACTCCTGGGAAATCCTAACCAATGTGAGTGTCCTGGTTTACCAGAAGCCTAGGGTCCTGCCTTACCTCTACCTCCTGAGTACTGGGAGAGTTACCTAGGCTGACAGCAGGGTGCAGGTGAGGACCTTGGAATGCATGGTATGGTACCAGATGGACCTCAGGGTAGCTGGGACCTGAGCAAGCTGATCAGTACCAAAGTACTCCTCACCTACATGAGTGAACGCAGTATAAAACCCTGGTCCCCAGGGCTCTGGTGAACTTCCCAGGTGACAGTGCTCCATGCACACTAGCCCCACTGCTGAAGGCAAGAGCAAGGCTCCCCTGGTAGCTTATGCCTCATCTTTCCTGACTCCTGTTCTATGTCACTTGAATCTTGGCAGTTTTTTAACCTGAATCATTTCATTGTACTAAATTGTGAGCATGATGGTTTCTCTCAGTTCTGAGAATTCTTACCAGCAATAAAGCCTGAAGGGGTTCTGAGAGACACCCAACAACAAGCTCCTGTGGGCACATTAGTATCCCTGTGGTTGTCCAACACAAGTGGGGTGGAAGGGCCTGCCCACCCACCAGCTACCTGTTGGCATTTCTTCAGGTGCTCCAAATCCTTTAGGGCCTGCTCCTTCTGTATCCGAAGTTCAAGCTTCTCCCGGCTCAGCTTCTCTACCAGCTTCCTGGCTTCTTGGAATTTGCACATGAGAAACTCCTTCTCCTCACGTTGGCTGACCTGGAAATGCAGCAGCTCCTCGCAGCGCTCTCGCAGCATCTGATTGCTCTGCCGGATGGCATCTGGAGACAGGGCAGATAGCAAAGGAGATGTGAGTCCTGATAGCCAAGCACCCAGTTCCACTAGTTCCTGCCTAGGCCCATGCAGGACCAAAACCATGAGGCCTGAAGCTGGACCACCCATCTTGGCACCCTCCCTCTAATGTTAGGTGGCCTTTCTCCAAGAGGCTGAATCATTTCCCAATCAATTACACTGATGATAGGCCCCTAAGTTTTGGCGATGGACTACTAAACACATCATCCTCACTTGAAGGGATTTATCAAATGCTACTTTCTTTTTAAGTGTCTCAGGAATTCATTTATATTCTGGTCAGTCAGAGATGCCTACCCTGAACACTCAGTCCCAGTCCTCTTAGGCCTTGTCCCAGTTTGTTCTTCATTGCTGTGACAAAATACCCTGACTAATACCAACTTGGGGAGGAAAGGGTTTGTCTTACATCTCCCAGGTTGCAGTTCATCAGGGAGCCCAAGGTAGGAACAAAGGGCAGGAACCTGGAGGCAGGAGCTGGAGCATACGCCATGCAGGAACGCTGCTTACTGGCTTGCTCCCTTGGCCCCTGCTCAGCCTGCTTTCTTATGCAACACAGGCCCACCTGCCCAGGGGTGGCACTACCCACAGTGGGCTGGGGCCTCCCACATCACTCATCAAGAAGATGCCCTTCAGACATCGCCACAGGCTAGTCCAATAGAGGCAATTCCCCAACTGAGGCTCCCTCAACCCAGGTGTGTCAAGTTGACACTAAAGCTATCCAGCACAGGCCTGTACCTCTGTCTTCAGGATCAGAGGGGCCTAAACATGCCTGCAGACTCAGAGGCAGGGAGCAATCCCCAAAGCAAATTTCACTGTATGGTTGCTAGCTGTAGCCTGGTACAAACGGGGCAAGTTGGTAGCTTCTCTGAACTTCACTGCCCTCAGCTACATATTCAACAAGGACAGCAACATCCATCTTATAAAATGAGGGTGACATGAGAGCCAACCATGGTGGCACATATCTTTAATCCCAACACTCGGGAGACAGAAGTAGGTGGATCTCTATGAGTTTGAGGCCAACCTGGTCTACACAACGAGTTCCAGGACAACTGGGACTACAGCCAGACAACACACACACACACACACACACACACACCAAAAAAAAATCACACACACACAAAAAAAAAAACAAAAAAAAAAAATCAAACAACAACAACAAAAACCACATGAAGAAAGCAGACAGGGTTCCCAGTACAGAAAATAAACTGAAAACAGCTGGACCTCCTCTTAGTAGGGCTGGACACGCCCTTCCCAGAGCAGGCCACACTCCCTCGTGGGAAAGCCTATTTCCTAAGGAAAACAATATCCCTTCCCACCTACAAGCTTGCCCCTTCTTAATAAAGATCAAGCCTCAGGCTGGAGAGATGGCTCAGTGGTTAAGAACACTGACAGTTCTTGTAGAAGACCTGGGTTCGAATCCCAGCACCCACGTGACAGCTAACAATTGTCCGTAACTCCAGTTCCAGGGCCTCCAACAGCCTCTTCTGTCCTCCACAGGCATTGCACAACACAGGTACACTTACTTACATGCAGGCATAATACTCATACACATAAAATAATAAATAAATAATTTTTTTAAAAAAAGAAAGATCAAGCCTCCTTATAGTGATCCTTGTCCCTGTAGTCCAATTTTCTCCCTAACCACCATGGTTCTAGCCTTTCCCTTCCCTGGTGCTGGCACTGAAACACACTACACTTCCTGCATGTGAATCTGCACAGGGAACCCCAACTGAAACCAAATGGGAAGGTGGTTAATCTTGAAATGCTAGCTGGTTCTAGGGCACATCATAACCTCAAACCCGAGGGACCAATGATGAAGTGCCATAAATATAAGCTTCCTCAGTGTGACTGGCTCCTCCTGGCTTTTTACTCCATACCTGCCATACACTCTGATCCTTACCTCGAAGCTCCTGATTCTCTTCCAGACATCGTTGGAGGGTCTCAGGGGTGCCCTGCTCTGAAGGCAGATGCAGCATGGCTGGCTTCCCTAGAGAAGACTCTTCACCCAGCATGTCCTGGTCCCCTGCTGGACCACTGCTGGGCTGCACCATCTCACTCAGCTGATTCTTCCAGAGGTGCCTGCTCATCCAACAAGTCAGTGTCTGAAAGAGAAAGCCAGCAAGGGCATGACACAACACCAGGCAGTTTTCTTAGTCAGCCTGAGTGGTTCACTCTGTACAGAAGCCCTAGACTTCCATTCACATCAAAGCAATGGATACTTTGTCTAGTGGAATCAGATGTTAAAACAGAATTTGGAAAAAAATTTAAAAAAATAAAAAAAATTTTTAAAATAGAATTTGGGTCTCAGAGTAGCAAATATTCCCATTCAAATAGAGAATTATTTCTGAAGGGAAATGGCAATGTGTTGGGGCCCCATGTCAAAAGAAAAAGTGATGGGCTCGAGAGATGGCTCAGTGGTGAAGAGCACTTATTGCTCTTCTGGAGCACCTGAGTTCAGTTCCCAGTACTGACACTGTGGGTGGCTCACAACCATCTGTAACTCCAGCTCCAGGAGATCTGACACTCTTTTCTGGACTCCATAGGTACATGCACCCACATGACATACAGTCACAAAGTCACAGATACACATAAATAAAATAACAATTTTTAAATAATAATAAATACTTTTTTAAGTTTTTAACAATATGAATTGTGGATGGGGCATGGTGGTGTACACTTTTAATCCCAGCACTCAGGTGAGAGAGGCAGGCAGATCTCTGTGAGACTGAGGCCACCCTGGTCTATATAGCAAGTTCCAAGCCAGTTAGGTCAACAGGGAGACCCTGTCTCAAAAAAAAAACAAAGTTGAGCATGGTGGTGCATACATTTAATCCCTGCACTCAGAAGGCAGAGGTAGGAAGATCTGTGTAAAGTCAAGACCAGCCTGGTCTACATACCGAGTTCCAGGGCAGCTAGGGAGACCCTGCCTCAAAAAATTAAAAAGGAAAAAAAGAGAGAAAATATAATGGGTGAAGACTGTGAGAGCTACAAATTAAAGCTATGAGGTGACAGTTATAAGTAGGAGATGTATACATGGAATTTAGTGCATTAATATTTCTACTTTTGAACAATTTTAAATTTTTCAATAATAATGGGCTGAGAGCACTATCACCTTTCATCGGGATTACTACAATAACGTCCCTTACAGGTCACTCTTGTTTCTTTCCTTGTCCTTTACAGTGAATTGCCCCCACTGGGGCCAGAACATGACTCGTAGATAATTCAGATTATTATCCCTTCTCTACAGTGAACTCTATCGTAACTCCCTGTTTCTCCTTGTGCAAAATCCAAAGTCTGTACAACAGCCTACAAGGCCCTATACCACCTAAGCCCCCTTCCTTCCAGTCCACCAACTATTCCTCCCTTGCCCTGTCTGCTACAGCTACAGGGGCCTTCCTTGTTCCTAGCATATGCCAAGATCGCGCATTTGTTCTTGGGTCAGAGAAATGGTAGGAGGGAGAACAGGTTAGATTCTTAATCGTTGTCAAAGTGAGGTGAGGTACATAAGGTAAGAGGGATAACTGTCAAGCTACACTTGAGGACTTTTTAAAACCTCAGGTGCACTCCAGTTTAATAAATAGCCAGGCCAGGTGGCGCACACCTGTCACTCCAGCACTTGGGAGGCTGAAGTAGAAAAATCTTGAGCTCGAAATCAAGCCTGGACTACATAGCGAGATGCCTGTCTCAAAAACAAAGTTTGGTGAACAGGAAAAGTCTCTGAACTAAGAAGAGTTCTTGTACTAGGGCTCAAGCCCTTAGGTGACAGCTGCGGCGGCGTTGGAAAGGCAGAATCACTCCCACTCGCCACCCAAGTAACCTGTGTCACGAATCCGCGCGCCTGAACCGATGCTCTAGAAGCATGCGGCAGAACCAGTTTGGGCCCGAACAGGAGGAGGGGAGCCTGGACGTCCGGAGTCTCGGAAGCGCTGAACTTCCTCCGATAGAACCCTATCTTTGGAGAAGAGGACCACACCTGTCAGCAGAGTAGGCGAGACGTGAGTAGGCAAGAGCCGCAGGCTGCGAGTGCTCCGAGGGAACCGAAGCTCCCAGAAAGTCACAATCAGGCGGTCGCCCTTCCCTTCTGAAGTGGAAAACCCCACTTCCGGCTTCCGGTGTCGTAATCGTGGGATCCGGAAGTAAAACACAGACTCAGATGCGAGACTAGGTGCGAAACCAGGCTAATACCGCATCCTGTTCCATAGAGACGCCCAAACCCGCCAGCCTTCACTGGCCAGCAAAAACGCTCCCCACTGATAAAACTTTCTGACGTCACACCTCACCGCTCCTACTCTCAAGTATCGTCCAGCTCTGGGCTCTCAGCCTCCCTCCCCTACCAGGGAAGAAGCGGGAGGAAGCTGCGGAAGCCCCGCCCAGAAGCCGTGGGAGAGGCGTGACCGTGCTCTCCACGGAAGTGGAGCCCTCCGCGAGGGCGCTGGGCCACTAGGGCCTAGCAAAAAATCCAAACCATATGGTGTTTGGGGTGGCGATGGAGATGAAGGAGAACCCTGCGAAGCCGCACCTGTGCCCGTAAGGCATCGCGATCTTGGGACTGGCAGCAGCAAGCAGACCAGCTGCCTCTGCCGGTGCCAAGGAGGCGGGGCAGGCCGGGGATGCGCGCGCACCTACTCCTGCCACCCCCCCCTTCCCACTTTGAAGGAGTTATCTGAGGCTCCGCCCCGCCTGCCTCTCCTGAGGCGTCGCTCAGTCAAAGCACCCGCCCTCATGCATTAAATGGGCCAGCGGGACGCAGCCCCCGGAAACGGCGGTGCACTCCGGGGCTGTGAGCGTGATTTTCCGCGTCAACGAAGCGCAGGTAACGGGGTGGTCTGATGGCACACCGGCGGAGTGGCGTGCTACCCGCTGGGGCATCGCGTGTCCCTTTGATACACTTTGCCGTTGTTGGGTACAGAGCAGAATCTACAAGATCTTAAGCCATCCCTTTATACCTCGCACCTCTCTGCGTTGAGCCCATGAGGACGAGACCCTTAGAAGGGAGGAGATGTGCTGGGACTACCCAGCTCGGCAAAGAGAGAACTGGAGCTGAACTCCCATCATCTGCACAAACATGCTCAATTCATTGTGCAGTTTCGGGCAGACTCCAGAGTGAGATGGTCCTAGACGCATAATGCAAAGCCCTGGCGGGATTTTATCTGGCTGCCCAGAATGTATGCCCTACCTGAACTCCATTAAGGCTTTTAGTAATTTCATAATGTACACCCCCCCCAAAAAAAAGGCAGCACGGGAAATTATGGCTGGAGCCAAGAGGCAGAAGTTTCTAAACCACCCCCCTACACACACGCCCACGCACACACAAGCACACAGTTGCCAGTGAGTGGTTTCTGTAATCAATCAGTAGCCTAATGAGAACCCAAAGGACCCCTGGATAAGGTCAACTTGTGAATGCTCTTCTGTTCTGCCTTATCAATGAGCCTTTCTTCCACCAGAGAACATCATGGCAGAACAGGTGGCCCTGAGCCGGACCCAGGTGTGCGGGATCCTGAGGGAAGAGTTGTACCAGGGTGATGCCTTCCACCAAGCTGATACACACATATTTATCATCATGGGTGCATCGGTGAGTCTCCCTTCAGGCCCTAAGGCTGAAAAACTGAAATGTAACCTTATGCAAGACATAATGTAACTTAACTTTCTCAACTGATTGCTGAGGGGCCACCCAGGCTCTGCTGGGTTGAACTCTTATGGCACCATGTTCCCATCCATGTGACCTTATTGTCCCACCAGTACCTGATACACTTGTGATGCATTTCTGACTTGTGTTCAGCCGTTGAATGTAGACCAGAGTTGGAGCTGCCAGGTCCTAAGGCACCATCTAGTTGGACTTCTTCCTCCTTGATGGGGAAAACTAAAGTGCGAGTAGGGAATGCTATTCAATGAATACTTTTTCCAAATCTGTTTGTGATTTGACAAATGTTACAGTCAGTTTCAGTGGAAGGATCTGAGGTCCTGTCTGCCTCTTTCTACTGTATGAAATTCCCTGAAAACAAACATCTCTCTGCCACACCTTCCAAAGCCTCCTGTGGTGTTCTGCTCGTTCCACCTGGCCCCAAATGTCCAGCTGGAACAACTGCCATTGTGCTCTGTTAGGAAAAACCAAAGAGTGGAGGCAAAGATGCAGTGTATTGATGGTATACTGCAACGCAGGGTCAGGAGGGAGCCCTGGTCAAGCTATGGACCCAGACTAGATCACCCTCCCTTACATGCTGTGAACAGCAGGACATGTGTAGGGACCAGGGTTTGATGACAAAAGTAGTCCTCATTGCTTGCATTTTTTTTTGTTTTGGTCTTTTTGAGACAGGGTCTCCCTGTAGCCCCAGCTGGCCTGGAACTCACTATGTAGACCGGGCAGGCCTCAAACTCACAGAGATTTGCCTGCCTCTGCCTCTCGAGTGCTGGGATTAAAGGCATGCGCCACCACACCCAGCCTAATTGCTTGCTTTTAACCCCTGAAATCAGCTCACCCTCGTATGACCATCTTCACCATTAACTTATTGTGCAATCTTGGCAAGAGCTTTGTTAGAGCAGGTGAGCTCGTGACAGAGTATCCACTGGCTTGGCACCTTCCACATTCTGTGCCCCTCAATGTTGGAAGAATTCCAAGGTTCTTTGTTCATACAGAACATGCCACCCACCAAGAGCTGGGGCTGTAGCTCAGTGGTAGAGTGTTAACCTTACATGCATGAGACCCTAGGTTCAATTCTCCATACTGAAGAAAAAAAGAGTGATGCCACCAGAACATGCCACCCCATTTGCCAAACCTGGTTTTGTCACTTTTGTGTTTCTGAGCAAAATTGGGAAAAGGAATGAGGGGGCAATCAAGGGAAAAGGACTCTGCCACTAAAAGGGAAAGGGAGAGGCACCCCAAGGCAGTATCCCCTGACTCTGGAATTCTAAGACTGAAGTGAGGTACCCAGGTGGAGCACACAGTGCAGCAGGCCTAGTCTCAGCCCTCATCTCTTAAAGGAACAAGGTCCCCTTAAAGGAGCCATACGTGTATCAGCCACAAACATTAGCATGTAGGATTCTGCCCATTAGGCCCTTCAGTCCACCAGGCTTACTGGAAGAGAAAGTAACTAAAGATGATTTCCCCTGCCCCACCCATGCTGCCATAAACATGTACCAACAGTAACCCAGACTGTGAAGATGGTTTGCAACTGCAAGATCTGAACTCTTAGGTGCCTCATTGATGGCATCCCAGCTTGTTGTGTGACCTGGAACAAATTATCTTCATTTCCCTGAACCTCAGTGGTCTTCACCTAGCAAACAAGGGCCATATGGCCTCAGGGATTTGCTCCAGGCCAATTGTGTGAGTTCTCTCTGGCCTGCAGTTGGGCAACCTCATTTCATTGTAATCAGTATGGTTCCCTTTGCTTTCCTCTGCTCTGAGTGAGAACTGAGGCGTCCAGAGCAAAAATGGGAAGTGCTAGCTCCAGCAGAAGGAACTAGGGGAGAATGAGAAAATTGCTAAAGAGCATCACTGCTTCTCTTTGTTCCCCTAAAAGGGGACTGGGGCAGAGTCGAGGCTTTATGCCCAGGCAACCCAGAGTAGCTCCTCCTGCCTGACACCTCTGTGAGTGCAGGAGGTAAGCAGGGTGCTAGGTGATCTGGGAAACCTGCAAGTCTCCATTGATTCAACATGTAGCAACCAAGTATATCTTCCAGTCCACAGGCTCAGACCCTGTCATCCTTTTGTGGCCTGTGTACTATAAGGAACAACCAGACTAATAGGACTTCAGAGGACTTATGACAGAAGCCACAAATTGACCCTGTGACCTCAGGTCCCTGCAACAGAAAGGTCCCAGGAGGGCCTAGAAAGTAAGGCCTAGAGGCTGTGAAGGCAACTGCCATCTAAGTCAGAAACAGATTCAGTGTGATCTAGAAACTGAAAGGAAACCAATGACTGGCAGGCCCTGAGCCTAGAAAAGCAGAACATGCTAGGGCAATGGCCATCCTCTGCCCCTTCTCAACCCCTAGGCACTTACCCAACCCTCACCCACATACACAGCTTCCTTTCTGGGGGCATTCTGAGGCTGCCTCACAGATGTGCTTTGAGCCTTACAAGGTTTCCCCTTGTTGTAACCACTCCTCCCCTTCTCAGAATTTGTACCTGCATAAGGAAGGGCATAGACGTCCTTACTGTCCCACTCCAGAAAGCACTGGCCTTATAGAGCAGTGTTGGGGAAGGAACTCTGGGCCTGGAAGGACATCTCTCCCAGCCCATAGGATCTTGGTGAGGCTGAGGAATGACCCCTCCCCCTAACCATCTGCCAAAGAAAAGGATTAGGCCTAGGAGTCTGCGTGGGCTAATAGGCTCACTGCAGGGCTAACCTCTCTGGGAATCAGTGCCTCCACCTGGACCATGACAGCCATGGGCTCAGTGGATACCCAGGGTCCATCCTACTGACAGGCCTGTGTAACAACTGACCTCGCAATCCCAGCCCCTCCTCTTCTTAGGTCATTTCAGAGCTGACTTCTCCCTTGGGCTGGTAAGATTCTTGTTGTGTCATGATGACCTTGGCATTCTCCCAAAAGGCTAGTGACTCATGGAGCCCCAGGGTGTAGAAGGAAGGCCTTTTGTTAGAGTTTTAGCCCAAACCTATCTCATATCCCCTGTGTCTCATCCCAGTGACTGAAAGCCAGCTGGGCTTCAGCCAAGGCCCAGAATTCCACCTTGGGAAACTAGGTGGATCCCTTTCCCCCAACAACCCTTGGGAACTGGGTAGCCTACCCCTGCCAGACCTCCAATGGAAAACCTCACCCTGAAGACAAAGGGCTGCCATGATTTGGGTTTATAAAACACAAAGTGAAAACCAAACCTCAGATGACCATAGGCAGGTAGTAGCTCAGGTCTCTTTATCCTGATCTGGCCCTATATATGTGGCTTGAGATCTTAATCATGTCCAGTTTCTCCTGTCACCACTTAGGTAGTGGGTAGGCCCTTCCCTTGCTGTCTTCCTCAGGCAATGTGAGGGGGTGGCAAAGATGAGAGACTTCCAGCTGCTTCTCTAATTGTACCCACTCCCACACAGGGTTTAGACTGTAGTTCTTCCCATGTTCCTCACTTCAGAAGAGTCCAGTGAGAGCCTGGAGGGCCAGCAGAAAAGGCAAGGCCACCCCCATCCCTGAAGAGAGTAACTGGTTCCCACCCCCACTGTCCTTGCTCCTACCTCACCTCACTTGGGTGACTTGAATCCAGGTAGACTGTTGGTTGCAGGGACTGAGCTAAAACAAGGAGAGCAGGTTCTAGCTTTAGTTAATCCCAAAGGGAACAAGAACAAACAGCTTGGGGTGTGGGGCAACTGTGACTCAGCAGACCCGTCCCCTGCCACTAATACATTGGCTGGAGTCTGTCCTGATTCCTCCCAGTCTGTTGGAATTTGATCATAAGTAAACATTGCCTGCTTAGAGAGGTCTGCAGGCCAGAGTTCTCATTGTTTAAGTGTCTGTTCCCAGCAAGCCAGCTCTTGCTGGAGTGTGTGAGGCCAGCACCAAGCCTTCTGGAAATGAGCAGTGCCTCACATCCCACTGATGGGAAATACCAGAGGCAGACATTGAAGACGTTCTTAGGAACTGAGGACCATGCTGGGGAGAGCTCCTGGCAGGACTTGTCTGCACTGAACCTTTAGGGACCTGTTATGGTAGCCATCTGGCATGGCAGAGTAAGAGCTTTGCCCAGGAGAGTGTCTTAGGGGACAGCTAGTAAGCCACTCAGGTGGCCATGCTAGATATCACATGAGAGAATGATGGGTGTGCACATGGATGAGGAGGCTCCACAGGCAATGGGAGCCCAGCTGGCAATAAATCTTGGACATTGTCCTAAAGACAGTCACCACAGCATGGGGCTACAAGGAGGCTGGGCCCAAGCTCCCAGAAGTTCATATGGAAGGTGGGAGACATCCAGAGTGCTCAGGACATAAATCATGAGCAACTGACAAACATGGACACTGAGTGAAGGGAATTCTTTCCTCAGGCAAATGCAGAGTGTCAGAGTTTGGTGACAGCCCTCTGTGGAAGTTTTGGAGTCCCAATAGAATCTGGAGATGACCCAGAGATACTTGCTTCTGTGGGCCTGACACTCAGCAAATAGCTGAAGACAGTTATTCACGCCACCAGGAATCCCTGAGTGCCCACCACCATCCTATCCAGAAGTGCCATTTCCTACAGAAATGTATTCATCAATGTAGTCACATGGCTTCATTTTTTTTTCTTAAGATGGTACTAGGGACAGAACTCAGGGCCTCCTGCATGCTAGGCAAGTGCTGTACCACTGAGCTTCAGCCCCAACCCATTTTACCTTTTGAGACATGTTTTCCTGTTTCCCGGGCTGGACTCCAATTTATTATTCTCCTGTCTCAGCCTTCTAAGTGTTGGGATTATAGGTATATACCACTTTATAGACGTGGATTAGTCTTCTTGGTTGGTTTTTTTTTTCTTTTTGGTCTTTTTGAGACAGGGTTTCCCTGTAGCCCCAGCTGGCCTGGAACTCACTATGTAGACCAGGCTGGCCGAATTCAGA